TGTGTGTGTGTGTGTGTGTGTGTGTGAACAGAATCATGGAGAACTTCTACATGAATCTCTTCATATGAATCCAGAGTCACACTGCAGATTAATACAGAATTCTGATACAGAGTTCCGTTCCATTCGAAACTGAAATTAGAATACCGTTCACATTCCAATTCAAATCCTGTATAGTTCCATGGAAAGCCGATTCTGTCCCTGCTTTTGAGATGTGGGCAATGGAACTGGGAAATATGTTACATTTGGAAGAACTGAGATTTATATTAAAAGATGAAATTATCAATTTTCATATGGAGAACTTCTACACACTCTGACGCAGCATGACAGGTGAGTCTCTGAATCTCTTCATATGAATCCAGAGTCACACTGCAGATTAATACAGAATTCTGATACAGAGTTCCGTTCCATTCGAAACTGAAATTAGAATACCGTTCACATTCCAATTCAAATCCTGTATAGTTCCATGGAAAGCCGATTCTGTCCCTGCTTTTGAGATGTGGGCAATGGAACTGGGAAATATGTTACATTTGGAAGAACTGAGATTTATATTAAAAGATGAAATTATCAATTTTCATCAAGATCTGGAAACCAATAAGACTGTTCTTACAGGCAGACTGAATATATTGGATTACATCTCTTTTAATCAAACTGTCTGAATATACACTATTTGGATAGCTGTTGTTGCCGTCCATCAGGATAAAAGATTGTATATTAACACTCTGTTGCTTATGTACAACATTCCTGATTTTCTAATACAAAGCTTTAATGTTCTTAGCTCAAAAGTCATGTATTGTACAGTGTTACAGCTAAGGGTGCTTGATGTCGTATTTTTCCTGTATAGTAGCTATTTTGTGACATTGTGTGTGTTGTTTCAAGAAAATTTAAATAAAGAGATTAAAAAATATATATATATCCTGTTATAGTTCCCCATAATAGTTTCAAAACATTTCAGTCGTTCTATTATTATTTCTGCATTCGGTTTTTCTGTGAGTTCATATTCAATAGTTTCAAAACATTTCAGTCGTTCTATTATTATTTCTGCATTCGGTTTTTCTGTGAGTTCATATTCATTTAGAGAAACAATAATTATACATTATGGCATTACTGAATGAACAAATCAGTGAAAGATTTTTGATCGAACTGGCTGAATGAATGATTCAGTGACTCACACATAGACAGTCGCTTGCTTCGTTACTGATTATGTTTGTGTTTTTGATCTAATTGTTTGAGTGAATGATTCAGTTACTCATTCATAGACAGCAACTTTCGTTCCTGAATGAATCTGTGTTTTAGAACAAATCGTTTGTGTGCAAGACTCACAGACTCTTGTAGACAGTCGCTTGCTTCGTTCTTGAATGAATCATTTGTGTGAACGATTCTGCAATTCACTCATATAGAGAGTCACTTTTTTTCATTCCTGAATGAATCAGTGTTTTCGAATAAATCATTTGCAGGAATGATTCAGTGAATCTCATAGAAAGTAGCTTGTTTCATTCTTGAATAAATCTGAGCTTTTGAATGAGTCATTTGCGTGAATGATTTTATTATTCAGTCATATAGGCAGTCGCTTGTTTCGTTCCTGAATGAATCCGTGTTTTTGAATGAATTACTTACGTGCAAGATTCAGTGACTCTCATAGATGGATCCATGTTTCGTTCTTGAATGAATCAGAGTTGTTGAATGAATCATTTGCGTGAATGATTCTATGACTCACTCATATAGATGGTCACGAATGAATCAGTGTTTTTGAACAAATCCTTTGTGTGAATGATTCAGTGGCTGTCATAGACGGTCGCTTGTTTCATTCCTGGATGAATCAATGTTTTTAATCGAATCTGTTGAAAGAATCAGTGAATCAGTTTTTCAGTCATAAAAAAGTCACTTGTTGTAATGCTGTAATGTGCAGAATGTCTTTTTCATTATATATATATTTTTGCTGTGTATTCACACATATATCTACACTGCAGTGTGTATCTGACTAAATGAACTTTTTCTATTATATTTTTCTGTCTCTCTGCTGTAGATATGTGACTGCATGTGCATTCTCTCCCTGCATGCTGATGTTTGCATCTGGCTCTGTGGATAAGACGGTGAAAATCTGGAGAATTGGGGATGGAAATGCTGAAGCATGTAAGTACACAAAGTCCATCTGCTTCTGTTGAACTATAAACCACACATGAATACTGACACTGCTGTTTGACCATCTGACCACTAGATCAATGTGCAGAGTTTAAAGGAGACATATTATGCCCCTTTTTACAATATGTAATATAAGTCTCTGGTGTCCCGCGAATGTGTCTGTGAAGTTTCAGCTCAAAATACTCCACAGATCATTTATTATATCATTTTGAAAATGCCTATTTTGAGTGGAAGCAGAAACACGCTGTTTTTCGGGCCTGTCTCTTTAAATGCAAATGAGCTGCTGCTCCCCGCCTCCTTTTCCAGAATAGAGCTGCGCCATGCTCCCGATTCAACACAAGTGAAGCCTAATGAATCATGATGTCGATTATCACAGAAAAATTATTTTGTCCCTCAGTTTTTTAATAAAAGTAAAAATTGCACTTACTATTTATCTTGTATTAAACCTGGAACATTTGTTTAATTTGGGTTCATCGTTGTGATTGAGTTGTTGACCTTAATTTTACTATTTAAAATGATAAATAATAAATTTTTTATTTGATTGAATATTTAAAAAATATTTGTAATTTTTTTTTAAATGTTTATTTAACATTTGAAATGTATTTATTAGAATAAAGAGAGTTTTTTCCCATATACTGTATGTGTGTGTGTTTGTGAGCATGTAGTAATTTGTGTTTGTGTGACCCCGAGCATGTTGGGTTGTGGAGTCACTGCATGCTGACAGATGGCACACAGTGAGACCATTAGGACAGCACCAGATCAGAGAGGCAGCGATCCAAACATGGATTACAGACGCCACGAAGAACATCATTTTACCAGCTAGAAGAGTTTAGACAGAACAGCTGTCCATCTGTTGTATAATTTTGGTTAAAACAATGGTTCACCCCCCAAATTTTTACCATTATTAATATCATGTTACATTTTTCATGACTTTAAATAATGAACATTTTTGAATGGCGACAAAAAAAAATCAGCTTTGAATTGATTGATTAAAACACTTGGACTGAATCACGGATATGAATCAAGCTCCTAAGCCAAAGTTTAACGACGAATGCTTACTTTGCTGCACTTGAAACTTTGGCTTAGGAGCTTGACTGTCTGAACACTTCCACGAGTCATGAAATAATCGAGAAACTAGTCTAATGACACTGTCTTAGAAAACTTAATGGCCAAATAAAAGTGTATTAACATTATCTAATTATGTCACTTTATATTTCCAGGAAAATGATCATGAGTATTTGATATTATCGCCAGAACACCTAGCGTTAGTGCAGTTTCTCTCAGTGGGGTTACAGAGATGTCACATGCTAAAACAGAAACTATTTACAATAAAATGACATTCATTTGTGCTGATGGCTTTCTCTTTATTTTTAGCTGAACCATTGAAAATGTCGGTCCAAGGTAAGAGCTTCTCACATTAACATTCACGAATAAAACAAAATAAAGAAAGAAGCACATTGTTTATTTACATACACCGTTTTATTAAATCAGAAAATTGAAGGTAAAAAGCTAAAGGATGAGTTTGTTGAGAGAACAAAATATATTGACATACCAGCGAGGCAGATTTTGGCACGTGCAATGCTAGATTGATAAGCAATGAATTATTTTCAATGAATTAAAGTAGTTCACAAAACTGATCTGAACGATACATTCACGAATCAAACTAAATCTGGTTCTCGAGGCATACGATTACTGGTTGTAATAAAATTATACAATTATTTGTGCAGTTTTGATTAACATTCATTGCATACACAAATGTAATTAAAATAGTGTAGATTTAAAATGGATGAATATAGGATGCAACCAAACTAAGCAAGCTATATGTTTTTAATGTGTACACACAGGCATAGGAATAGTTCACAAGATGCTATGTTTATGTTTAGGAAGGAAAAGACACACGGTTTGGAATATAATGAGAGATGTTCAGTATTGAGGATGATGATAAAGCTCTTCATGTTTGTTTGTGTGGACAGGAAGGAAGTCACTGGGTTACTCCAGAACACTGGTCAGCGATTGGTCAGAGGAGGATGTGAGCGAGTGGCTCTGTGATGAAGGACTTGAAGCTCTGGTGGACACGTTTAGGGCCCACAACATTGACGGGGCCGAACTCATCAGCTTAAACACAGAGACACTGACCACTGAGTTTAACATTGGTGAGGAAACACACACAAAACTGTTTCAGACAATGTCCTTCATGCTTTACTAGTTCTAGAACGCTAGAGATCAAATGTAATGTTTTATTACTTATTTTACAATTATTATTATTATTACATAAGATTACCATGGTAAACTGCATAGCAACATGCTTAAAACCTCTCAGAACACCTTATAACATTCTAGGGCTGTAGCTTTGAGTTTTGAATTGGAAAACACCACTCATATTTTCTTCATAAGTCGTTCAAATTATACTTTTACTCCTAAAGAAAATTTTTTTATTAGATGCAATGGACCCTCAAATATGATCATCCTTGAGCGAGGAACCCCCTTTCTAAAAATGTAAAAGGCAGCTATGTATTTTCATGTATAAAGACCCAATTTATACTGGGGAAAAAGTAATATTATGAATATTTGTATTATTTGGAAAATATGTAATTTTTATTACATTTTTGTTCTGTTCTCTATAGTACTGTACGGTTAAGGTGTATTATGTAAATGTAAATTTGATTATTTATGCAAATCAATTATTTATTTATTCAAATGTATACAATTTATTTATATTTTCATTATTTAAGATTTTTATTTAGTTTAATAACTAAATAAAAACATTATTTAGTTTAATTAATTTTTAATCATTTATACAGTTTTTCTGTAAACTAAATAGTTAAATTCTAATAATTTATATGTATTTATACAGTATAATATAAATGTAAAATGTGCATATATATATATATATATATATATATATATATATATACACACACACACATATATATACACACACACACACACACACACACACACACACACATATGTGACCCTGGAGCACAAAAGCAGTGTTAAGTTGCTGGGGTATATTTGTAGCAATAGCCAAAAATACATTGTATGGGTCAAAATTATAGATTTTTATTTTATGCCAAAAATCATTAGGATATTAAGTAAAGATCATGTTCCATGAAGATATTTTGTACATTTCCTACTGTAAATATATTAAAACTTAATTTTTGATTAGTAATATGCATTGCTAAGAACTTCATTTGGACAACTTTACAGGAGATTTTCTCAATATTTAGATTTTTTTGCTCCCTCAGATTCCAGATTTTCAAATAGTTGTATCTCGGCGTCTGATCCTAACAAATCATACATCAATGGAAAGCTTATTTATTCAGAAAAATTGACCATTATGACTGGTTTTGTGGTCCAGGGTCATATATATATATATATATAATTAAAATACTAATTAATTTACTTACTAGAACTTATGTAAAAAACTGAATGCTTCAAACTGCCTGAAACAGCCTTTGGTTTATTCTGACTGTCCTTTGTAGGGAGTTGATTGATTAGTTGAGTTTAACACCTGTGGTTGATGAAGCCTGCAGTTCGAGCCAATCAGATGCTTTTGTTAGTCTCGTGGTTGTCCGATGGGGTCCTCAGGAGGAGCTGGAGCTCTGCGCTAATGAATTTAGAGCTGCTGCAGTCATCAGAACCTGCTGCTGCTGTTGATTCGAGAGTCTGACTGCATATTGATCAGACATGCATCCTGGGCAGCGTCTGATTGAAAACACGATTCTCATCTCTCTCCAGCTCTTCGTGCAATCCGCTACCTCTTTATTGCAAATGGCAGGTGCTGCACTCTGACAGCGCTGTCTCTGAGAGACACAACTCTATTGTCTTGTCCAAATACCCGCACTTGCGGTCTTGGCCACTTGAGTATGGAAAGCCATATGGGTCATAATTCGCATGCTTTTCATCGCCGTATCAATATTAAAACGCCGTTTTCATAACGCCGCCAGGTGTTAAATAAGCGCCGTTAGGCGATAAGTTAACGGCAGACGTCACCACGCGTTAAAATAACGCCATACGCCACTTAAGATGCAGATTTATTTGCTCATCTACATGGACACACCTCTCATGGCTACAAGGACTCTACGGCAAGTCGGAGCATCCAGTTTGCAAGAGCGCGAAGATGGCAAGTGCAGCCCTTACAATTCTAGATGTAGGGGGAAAATGCCCCTGAATGAGCTTTTGTCTCATAAAGTTATCACACGAGTCATGAATGAGTGCAAATTTGGAAATTATTTTATACAACAGTTAAATAAATAAGAAATGTTATGGTAAGTCTTGCAATATATTGCAAAATACATTTATAATCAGTCGTGAAAATGGACAAAATTCACTGGGGGACCCTAGCTTGGAATCAGGTGGGGTGGGGGGGTATAAAGGTAATAAAAGGTAAAATAATAAATAAATATATATTATATTTATATAAAATATACATTTTGGATGTATTTAATTATACATCTTATAATTTGGTAGAAAAACAAAGTGTTGCACGTTTTAATGGTGCAAAGATGAGTAGTGGTGATATTTATTTTGTACATTTGCAACTGCTTTTTATCACTTAATTAGATGCACCACAAATTAAATTGTGTCATGTTATAGGGACTAACTGAACGGACATTTAGAAATTGATTTTAAAATGCAAAGTATTTAAAATTAAAATAACGCAATGTAAACACATGCATTTTTACAACACTATAAGTGTGTCCCATCAGGTAATGAAAAGTTCTACACACACTTGTGGTCTTCATCCTCACTTGAACACTTGGGCCAAATACAGGAAATACATCATAGAAGTGGTCAAGTGCAAAGACCGCAAGTGTGGGTATTTGGACAAGGCATATATGATATGCAGGATGAAGAAATGAGAATAGCGGACAGGTGACGCAGTAATCAGGTTTCATAGGTATGATGATTACCTTTAACAAAACTATACTGTATATATTAGGGCTGGGTTTTGACAAATTTCTCGATTCGACTCTCATTCACAAGCTTGCGATTCAAACTGTGTTTGTCATTTGTTTTTTGGTAACTCGATGGCCAGATATATTTGGAGTTATACACAGAAGCATAAAGCAATACCAAAAATCATGTTGCACAGCATATGCTGGGTGATTTGCTTCAGCTGAACATGCTTGTTTTCTCTGTCCTGTAGAGTCGGTGGGTCTCCGGGGTCGAGTCCTGAGGAAGATTAAGGACCTGAGATCTTCACTGATGGACTCTGATGTTCCTGATGAGTTCCTCTGTTCGATCACCAGAGAGCTCATGAAGGACCCCATCATCGCTGCAGGTCAGTGCAGGACACGGATCCAAATGAGTTTGTCCTGATAAATCTAGATTGAAGATTATCTGAATTTAATTCAATGTGTTTGTGATTCCTGTCCAGTGTTGCCAGATCCCCGGTTTCCCCGCACAATAGGGCTGTTTTGAACATTGAAATTTTTTTTTTTTGTAGGAAAAATTGCAGGATTACTTTTTTTTGGCTACTTTTATAATTTACCACAGCTATCAAAATTGTATGGATAGCAATGTCAGTATCATACGTTATGTTATTCATAATAAAATGTAGTGTATTATGTATGTATTAAAAGTGTGTGTGTGTGTATATATATATATATATATATATATATATATATATATTAGTGCTGTCAAACGATAAATTGACAATTTATGTTGTCAGTTTAACATACCTAATATTAAGACATGATGGGGACACTAAAAACAAAATGCACTCAAAAGGATTTAAATTACTTACAATTTTAATTAAATATTTATTATTTAAAATGTTATACTTTCATATTGTCAGTTTAACATTTTATCTAATATGTTAAGACATGATTGGGACATTAAAGAAGAACAAAATTAACAAAAAGGGTTTTTTATATATTCTTATATATATGTTATATATGAGAATGTTTCTTTTATGGCCCTTTATGGGAATCCCATGGATTGATGAGGGGAAAATTGAGCTAGATTTAATTCATTTTGGGTGGATTTTGGGCTAGAAATTTTTCTCCAACTAAATCAGTTTGAGCAATTGCAAATCACAACATGAAACACTGGGAGGCAATGAGAGCAATGCATGTTTAAGTGGTGTGATTAACTGACGTGTTCTTTAACAGATGGATTTTCCTATGAAAGAGAGGCGATGGAGAGCTGGATCAACACTCCCAATCGCTCCAGCCCGATGACCAACCTGCCTTTACAAACCACGCTACTGACCGCCAACAGAAGCCTGAAGATGGCCATACAGCGCTGGAAGAGCAGCCACTGAGGCGGAAGACTGCATGCACAGGTGGAGGAGTTTCTTACACACACCAGTGTTCATTTTGACAGCAAATTTAGATTTAGGTTTAGTCATAGTCTTTTGACTAAAATGCAGTTTCGTTTTAGTCATATTTTAGTCATCTGAATTGTTTTTAGTTTTAGTCAACTGAATATCATAAGATTTTAGTCGACTAAATCTGCAGTAAATTTAGTCGGCTAAAATCTAATGTGTTTAGTTACAGTGCATTTATCAAGCATTTCTCTAAAATTTCCAATAACTGTCACCCGTCCCCTCTGTGGGACGCATGAGTTTACTTCACTATATTACAATTAAATCCTAATCTAATCATGACAAACTATATATCGTTGGAAAGGTCTAAGACTCCTAAATAGATATTTTACCAATGTTTTTGTTAAAAATTATGTAGGAAAAGTAATAGATTATTTTTTTACAAGAGTGCACCTCAAAAATCTACATCATAACAGGAGTTCTGACCTTTGTCAAAAAAAGTCTTTGTTGCCTTTTTCTCCATCACACTTTAGAAATCATCAGAAATGATATATCAATTGAAAACTTAAAATCTCAAAATTCATCCTTTGAACCCCATTTTAAAATCAAACCTTGCATTACCATGAAAATGGTACATCAATATCATGTTACAAAATGTTTTCGTTCATGAATTATAACAATTTAAGTTTGGATCGTGCACTTTCACGTCTATGTTCAAAAATGTGAGTGAGTTAAAGGGTTAAGGTTTTATCATGACACACCGATTTAACTGCGGTGACACATAACATGCCTTTGTTACAATTAAATAACCACTTCTCATAAAGAACAAGAACATGGTCTTTTTTTTAATGAAATACCAATGGTTATATATGCATTCTTTATAGCAACTTGTTTACCATATTCTTCATTCTTTCAAGCAGACATATTTATTTCTATAAATAAATTTAGATTCATCTTTAGGGCTACTAAAGTTTTTCAGTCAAGAGCAATGCGGGATTTTCTGTCTTTCTGTTGTTGCTTGATTAACATCAATGACTCGGACAATAGCAACTAAAATAGGCTGCTGTCTCTTTAAAACCGAATGCACAGCTGCAATGGATGCAATGTACTGATACACGTTCTCCCTGCTGTTTACATTTACTTAAGACGTAATCAACTGTGTTTGCGTGAATACTCGTCAAAACTGACAATTCGACATTTTGTGTGTAATTCTCCATTCATGCGACGCGAAAGAGTACTCGTGCGCTGTGAGACGCGCAGCGTCGGTGCCACGGGGGGCCTGAGGGGCCCCGGCCCGGCCACCTCGGTCACTGTGCCCCCTCACCTCTGATATGCCGTCTCCGTAGTGGGCGCCCTGATTTTAGTCGGTGAGGCAAGGTACTGCCCAGGGAAGGTCTCCCAGGCTGTTAAATACACAGATTAAAAGCAAAATGTTTTCATTTCGTTTCGTTCTTAGCAAAAAAAAATTTGTTTTTCGTTCAGGTTATGCAGAGCAAAATAAGAACGGTGCTGCATTTAGAAAGAATTCTTATTAACTTTGCTATTATTCTTGAATTTTCAAACTGCTAACACTTTGCACTTTGCACTTTCGAATTATGCCTTTACTGTATGACCAAAAATGACGGAGTAATCTATTTTATGTTTCAGCTGTTTGATCGCGCCGGCGCCTCACGCGCTCACACTAAGCTACTGCATTCATTGGAAACAGCGCAGCCGTTCACCGTGCCGTTCGGCGTGAGACCCCAGGGCTCTACAGTGCGACCGTTTCAGTTGCATTTGCGACTGAAAACTACTGCGTGCGACTATGAAATAATATTTAACATACTTTTAATAAAGTTAGAAAAATGCCATTACAAAGGTAAAAACTAAATTCTCTAGACATCACTTTAAGGAGTCAACTATCACCTCGTAATGGGAAGGTTAATTTTTTTATCAGAATTTTTGATTACTGATTAGAAGGTGCTCCTAAATTTTTTAAATGAAAGTGAAGAAAAGTATCCGTAGAGCCCTGGACCCGGTCCACTGTGGCATATTTTTGCTCATTATGATATTTTCCGTCGATACTGGAACGCGCGTGAACTATAAAGCCTATTTGACCTAATAAGGCTAATAGTTTAGCTTCAGCTACATCACGAATATGGACACATTTGGATTTGAGCCTGAGAGAGGTAAGCCCAACTTTACCTTACGTTTCTTTATAAATTCATTTGTTTTGGCATGTTTATTGCTAAGCATATATTATTATATACAGTAATTATATTTATCCATTAGAATTCTATATTTTTAAATTCTTATTCTGTTCTGATACGGTTCAATTTAAAGGATTTGTTGTAAAGTGAGGGGAACTAAAATATCCTATAGTGTTTATAATGTTGGTACATTATAACATTATTAGGCCTGCCGTTATTATTTCTGAAAATGCAACTTATACGAAACCTATCTTTTTTTTATTTTCCTCAAAATTGTTTATTTCTTTAAAAAATTCAGATTTATTTATTTATTTTCTCTATCTTTTATTTCCCTTCTTTATTGTGTTTTTAAAAGCATGCAGCAAACGAAAATATGCGATTAATCTGTTCAAATGTGTTACTGTGGGTTAACAAGCTTACATTAGTAGGCTATTCTTATGCTTGGCTTCCCAGATAGCAACAGAGTCTGGGCCAAATCTGCTTTACATTCACTTCTGGCTTTTTTCAGTCTTGATTGCAAATGTTTAAAAAAAAAAATGTATGTATGCTACGATGGATAATTAAAACAAAAATCAGGCGTGTGTATTTATAACATCAATTACTAGGCCTACATTCTTTTTTTCAGAAATGGAAGTAACTTAAAATGTTATTGTGTGTTTGTAATTTTAATATTTTTATCTATAGGCCTATAGAGCAAAACTACAGAGCTTCCAGTAGGTTATTTTACGGAGCTGTAAACACGGGAATCTCTGACCGCATGCAATCTTTGACGAACACCCAATTCATATATCAAACTAGG